TGATGTAATCCACCTCCAATCTTTTCTTTAACTTCAGTGTGTTTGATGTTGTCAACTGGCAGGATGCCCAGGTATTTGTAGTAATCTTCTTCATCCAGATCCTTGATGTTACTTTCATATGACATCTTGATTCCTTCAGTTTCACTATTTTTCCCTGTTTGATGATGAATATGGCCCATTTGTCCAGTCCAAACCCCATTGAAATATCTTGTCTGTATATACAAAAAGTGTGAAGCAGAGGTTCTATTTCTATCTATGTATATTTTTATACAGCTTCAAATCACCCATATAAAGGAGGTGGGATAATTTGGCAGATGTTTTTGATGTTTGATAGACATGGCCTGTTACTAGTATTGCTGACAGAATAATCAGTGCAATGACAACTTATTTTATAAGATTATGCCCATGCAGCCTATCTTGATTCATTGTTCCCAACCTTCCTCATGGTTTACAGAGGAGCTATGGGTTCTGAAAAGAACCTAGAGATAGCTAGAGTGCTGCCAGAAGAAGATGAGGGATGACTCCAACTGGACACAGAGGTTATTAAGGCCTACCTTGTGGCAGTAGTACTGGTACAGCTGTATTTCTCCACTTTTATTGCTTCCTCAGAGTGTTGCCTAGTGGCCCTGTTTTGGGTCACCCATTCCGTCCTAGATCAGGAGGGCTTGGGTTATCTTTTGCAGTTCCAGGTAGAGGAGTTTACTCAGATTTGTTCCTATGAGTGGAGATAGTCCCTGTGAGATGCCCAGGGAGAGGTTCCCTGTTATCTGGGAATGGCTTGATCCTGTTGGCACTGATGGACATGGTCCCTGATGTGGTCAGTGTCACCACCTGTCAGTTAGATCCTTGTACCTCTTGGATGGTGAAAGCCTCCAAGTTGATGACTAGTGGGTAGGTCCAGGCAGTGATTAATGCATCATTGGAGGGGGGGACATTTGTTGGTGCTTTTAAGGAAGCTCTGGTTCTCCCATTCCTTAAAAAACCATCACTGGATCTCACCTGTATATCACCTGCCTGGATAATTTTCATCCAGTTTCCAACCTCCCATTTTTAGGGAAGATTATGGAAAAGGTGATGGCTGGCAGCTGCAGAAAGTCCTGGATGAAACAGATTATCTGGAGCCCTTTCAGTCAGGATTCTGGACTGGTTATGTGATGTAAATGGGCATTGGTCATGCTTGTTGATGATCTCTGGTGAAAGCAACATAGGGATAGGGCAACCATCCTCACTCTCCTTGACCACTTAGTGGCTTTCGATACTATTGACCATGGTATCCTTTGAGGCAGGAGTGGGTTTCAACTGGTTCGTGGCAGTCCCCGCGAACCGGTTGGTCGGCAAACCCGGAAGTAAGTAACTTCCGGGAACGGTGAAGGGCCCACCCGCCCGCGCTCCTTACCTGGTTTTGACGAGTTCTGCGCTTCCACGCATGCACAGGACGCATACAGCACCTGCGTGATCCTCCAGGAGCAGCTGGAGCATCGCACAGACGCTAGTACGCATGTGTGCACTGCGCGCGTGCACGAGGACACCGCCGGCCCCGTTCCAACCGAACTGGTTGGAACGGGGCGAGAAACCCACCCCTGCTTTGAGGCCAGTTACGGGAATTGGGACTGGTTGGCACAGTTCTGTTCTGGCTCAGCTCCTTTCTCTGTGGCTGGTTCCAATCAGTACTGATGAGAGTGAGAAGTCCAGCTCTCAGCACTATTTTGTGGTATGCTGCCTGACTCAATACTCTCTCCATTCTTCTTCAACATCTATGTGAAACCACAGGCTGAGATCCTCCACCACCACAGATTGAGGTATGTACAATATGCTGATGACAACCAACTCTATATTTCCACTCTTAGAGACCAAATGGTGACCTGGCTACTCTCTCGTGGTACTTACAGGCTGTGGGGGCCTGGATGGGGGACAAAGGCTTTGACTGAACCATGGCAAGATCAAATGGCTTCAGATACATGGTGCTGACCAGATTTGACCTTACATCTGAGCTCTGATCACGCAGAGGGAAGCCCTGATATGCCCGAGCTGTGCCTTCCAGGGAATTTGGCTGCAACCATCTGGAATGGAGATGCAGCAGGGGCTGGGGACCTGAAAGACAGAAGACTGCCAAGGAAGGAACCGCAGTGTCAGGGGCTGTCTCTGAAGGAGCTGCATTGATCGGGCAGTGCCCTGAAAGTGCTCTGGAGCTGCTGCCTCGCAGGACTGGTTGGAGCTCAGCTTTTCTTGCCGAGCAGCCTCGGTGAAGGAGGCGCATCATCAGAGATCTCTACCCCTCCGTTCAGCAGATCCACCCAGCCTGAAGAAGACAAGGCAGCCAGCTAGAAATGCACGTTTCCCTTGTGCACCTGATGCACTTTGGCTCCACTGAGACCACCAGCAGCTTGGACAGGTCAATTAGGCCACTGCCATTGCTGCCCGGAGCACCAGGTCTACCCAGCCCGAAGGAGGGAAAGCAGCTGGCTAGAAATGCTGAGTAGAGGTGGTAAAGCGTGCCCAGGCCCAGTGGGCAGAAAACAGCCAGCATGAGTTGGGAAAGCCAGATCCCCATTGGAACCCTGGCTGCCCAGGCCCAGCAAAGATGGGTTGGGGGGAGGCATGTGATCTCTGCTGGGCTTCACCATAGCGCTGATGTGGATCAAGCTTTCCCCATTTGTGGTGGCTGTCTTTTGCCTTCTGGGAATGGGGATTGCTTTTACCACTTCTACTTGTCTTTCTGGCAGGCTACTTTGCCTCCTTCAGGATGGGTGGACCTGGTGCTCCGGGCGGTGATGGCAGAAGCCTAAAGAACCTGCGTGAGCTGCTCGTGGCCTCACTAGAACATTTCTTTATAGAACTTCATTGGATCATTTTGCACCAATTTAATATATTAAAAATTACTCAATATGCCTCTAATATTCCAGTATCACAATATCGAATAACTCCAAAGAAGTCAATTATTAATAAAATTTAGTCAATCCCAGAATTATTCCTCCAGGTCCCCTAAATTTAAAGTCCTTAAAAGTTATAAATTGAAAATTTACAATCTTTGTAATTTTCCAGTTTACACCGTTCCAATTGTCCAAATTTTAAACTCTTATTTATTTTTTCTTCTTCTTTCTTTCCCCCCACCTTCTATCACCTTTCTTCTTTTGCCTCATATTAAGTCGCATTAATAATCCAAATCCAAATTGGCCCAACAAGTTCCCTCAAGTCTTTCAAATCCACCTTCCAGTAAACAATTTCAACAGGGTTTTAGTTATTTGCAATTCCATTTGTTTTAAAGATCTTCAAAAAGCTCACAAGTTATTTCCAAACATCCAAGTCCCTACTAAAATAGAATCAAGGGGCCTTCCAGATTTACTTTAGCTTCTTTTCTTTGTGTATCTTAAACAATTATCTTCTTCCTCCAGTAGATGGCTCACCTGCTCCAAATCCATTGAACAGTGTGTGGATTGTCAACAAATCAGGGGTGGTTAGAAATAAAAATAATTTAAAAAAAACCAGTTTCTCCCACTAATCACTTTTCAAAGTATTGCTACATCTTTTCTAGGCTTTCTATAGTTTAAAGTTTCTATTAGATGTTTCTTTCATATCTAGGTCTTTAATCTTTCTCCATGTATCCAATTGCCGCTTTCTTAACCTTTGCAATTATTATTTTAAATTCTTTTACTTGGGTTAGGTCTCTAGAATAAAAGTTGGAAGTTGTCTCACCCAGTTTCAATGCTCTGTCCATGAACCGCTCCAGCACAAACCTTATTGTCCCAGTTGTCACAGCTTGTGATTTGCCAAAAATGGCCATCATCCCTGCTGCCGTTTCCATGTTTGTTATTGTCCATGTGTTTTGTACCCTTCCTGTCCTTCTGTCATACACACATGCGTACCTTCAAATTATTGAAGAACAAGTATCAAGCTAATTGGGCTTGTTTCCTGGCAGATGTCCCATTGCCAGACTAGGTGACATCATCAGTGCTGTGAAGGAGGAAGATTTGTTCCCTGGTTGATTTCTGGGGTCTTTCCTGACCAGGGTTGGTCTTGGGGATTCTTGTTGTGGTCTGTCAGTGGCCGCACCCTCAGTAGCCAAATCAGAGGAGGAGGAGGTGTGGGAGTCAGAGTCAGCATCAGGACAACCTGGGAGCTCTGAGGGGGAAGAGGGAATGGATCTGGCAGAGAGAGAGAAAGAGGTGGAGCCTGGGTCATCCATCAGCCCTCAGATGGAGAGTCAACAGCCTCCCGGTCTGGAGGTGGTTGATGAAGAAGAAGAAGAGGACCAGCTGGGTCCAGTGCCTGACATATGGCTGTGCAGAAGGCAGAGAAGGAGAGAGCAGTGTAAAGATATGGGCTGATCCTGGGGAAGGAAGAGCCACCACGGCTAATGAGGCCCCACCCTAGCATTGGGGATAAAAGGCAGAGGTGAGATGAATAGGAGTGGAAGACAACTATTCATCTTCCGGCCAGCCGGACTTGTTGGCCTGCAAGATAAACATTTTGCCAGGGGATTCCTATAAGGGAATCTTTTGAGTTTATTTCAAGAGGGTTTGTTGTGTTTGGGGAGCTGGGTCAGAACAATTCTTTGGCTGGACTGGAACAATTATCCAGTGGAAGGACTTGCCTCTAGAAAGTGTGGGTGCTCCAGCGCTTAACAAGATGTTAGACAACCCTTTGTCTCAAATGGTGAAGCATTTCCTGTTTGTGCCGGGGGCATGGACTGGAGGACCTCCAAGGTCCCTTCCAACCCTTTTATTCTTTTATTCTGCTTCAAAATCTCTGAGAAGGAAGATAAAAACCTTACATCTATTATTGGAATCTAGCCTGATGGTGAGTTAGGCAGNTCCTCCTTTTACCCACCTCGGAAGGGCAGAAGGCTGAGTCAACCTTGAGCCTTGTGAGATTTAAACTGTCAAATTGCAGACAGACAGCAGTCAGCAGAAGTAGCCTGCACTCCAGTGTGCCACCGTGGCTCAAGTGTGTGTGTGTGTATGTAAGAAGTGGGTTGCTCCCGGTTCGGCCGAACTGGTAGTGATAATTGGGTGTGGGTTGCCAAACCGGTAGTGATGGCTGGCTGGCCATGCCCCCAAACTGTCCCTCTCCGACACTCGTCCTGCCTCGCATTTGCCATGTGCATCCACAGAACTGCTGCCTCCTGACTACATCCGTAAGCATTTGCGCTAGCCTAGCCCCCCCTCCCCACTGGCCAGCGTCTCCCAAAGCTGCTGCCATTGCAGCCCCAGAGGGGACGGGGGTAGCATGCTGGAGAGGGCAGTGGCGGCAGGAGAGGGCGGCATGCCAAGTCCCAGAGTGAGAAACCAGAAGAGACGCTTCCCTTGCGCTTCACTCGCTCCCTGCTGGAAATGTCTGGGTTTAGTTTGGATCTGGGGCCAGCCAAGGAGCCACTCAGCTTCATCAAATTCCCGCAATGGGTAAGATGAGTGGTGGTGACAGGAGGTGCCCAGCCAAGCAGGGCCCGGGTGGGCTGCGGAGCGCAGAGCCAGGAAAAGCCATACGTTTTCTAGAAGGAATTGAAGCATCCAACTTTGTAGGATGGAGGCCACGCCTGTCTTTATAAATCCGGTGGGCGAGTGGGGGAGGGGAGAGAGCAACGGGAAGGAAAGGGTGGGAGATAGGAAAAATACAGGCAGAAACCCTGGACTGTGCAAGCAGGGTGGGAGGGAAGAAAGTTCACCCAATCCTGTCTAGGGACAAGGGGGGGGAGAACCAGGTGCAACCTCTAAACACCCCCCCCAGGGAAAGCGGGGGCCGTGGGAAATCACAGAGCCCGGATGTCAAAGCGAACCAGGGAGAAAGCAGGCTAGAAGACCTCCAACTCTTTTAATCCTTACTCCGTGTTGAGCGTTAGGGTTGAGTGACCGCCTTGCAGACAAGAGATTTCAAGATGTTTCGCTGGCAACTCCGGCTGGCATCTTGAGACTGCTTTGCCTCCGAAGGGCATCTCAGATGGCAATAAATGAAGTGGGAATTTAAGCCAGGAACTGGTCAAAAGCTGCAGACCCAGTGAGGAAATCTGCGGGGTTCAAGACCGTGGATAGGGCCATGCAATGGGATCCCTGCTCTTGTCTCACTTGCACAGTACAAACAAGCAAACACACGTCTTTCTTCCCTGCTGAACCAGCGCCCTTCCTTGTGGTTGCTCTCTCTCTCTCTCTCCCCCCAGATGTTCTGCAGGACATTGAAGTCA